GATGTTACCTCGATTGGTGATGAAACGTTTGCAATCCAACTGCCAAGCTCGGCGAACAGACCAACAACCAAACAACGCACCCCAGCTACCTACATTCCACAACATTGCTAATAGCTCATTGAGTCTCTGAGGTGCGCAAACCGTCACACCACGATAAGATACAGTCTCCTTGTGATTCGCACAACCACACGAAGGATGGAAGTCAAACAATGACTTGGCAGCGAAGAGTGAAAACGATTACCAGCAAACGGCTTCAGTGGTCATTGCCGTTTCCCTGGATGGGGACCCCGAGACGGGATGCATGAATGTTTGGTTGGCATTTTCAGACATTGCCTAGTTGCTTTTGAGTCAAAGGTTCTGGTTGGAGCTTCTCATCGTCTTTCATCACCCTGGCCGCCAAGCTAGTATCTTACATCGTGTGCAACCGTAAAAAACCGAAAGTCACCTCCATGGTTGGCTGCCGCACGTTGTCATCAGGAACATGCGACAGGTCGGATAATGGCTGTCGGGCTACTTCTGACCTCTATTCCTTTCCGCATATATGCTCTCCCCGTTCCCCATCGCCTTGCTGACATCTCCACAGGCACGTTCTTAAGAATTGACAGATTTCCCCTCCGACCATTACCGTTAGTTGCCACATCGACGCTTGACTTGGTCACCTCAGCCATAAATTCTGACCTCGGTGCTCAATCCATCTGGCAGCCATCAACGTTCGCACTGTGAATCAAGCTGGTTCACAGGCCGTTCTTTGGGGCGCCTTGGTATCCAAGATTAAAAACCCAAGTACAATTTCTTTTGGTTTCAGTTTGCATACCTCTGATGATTCAAAAGCTACCACGGTGATTCTGCTAGGGTCGATGTTACTTTAAACCGCCAAACTGAAGGGCATGTGCGTGATCGGCCGTCCGCTGGTAGTTGTCCGTGTTCGGTTCGTTTGGTAATATCCGTCAAAGCATCCCATAAATGCTGTAGTAACCACTGTCGTTCCGTTGTACTTTCCTACGCTTGCGAAGCTTCCGGTATTCGGTCAGTATATTTCACGCAGTTGACAACACTGAAGCTCAAGGTCATTTGTGTATATTGGGCGGTTGTCGATGTAAAGTTCCTGTTGTCCTAGCCCAAGAACTGAACCTCAGGACACGCCACTCGTCATGGAGGTTAGTTATGAGACGGCCCGAGAATGCAACAGATTGGGTTCGCGATGAAATATGCCAAGTTTTTCAGAATAGAGTCATAGTGTCAAGACCAGGCAACGAGTTTGGACCCGACGTTTACATTAGTTTGTGTTCACTTCATGCTCAAGTTCCTGGAGAGACGCAGGTCGATAGGATGAGAAGTATCCCGGATGCAAACTGAAAGGCTCCTGTCAAACTGCGTTATTGTGTACTCTTCCGTTAACCACTAACTCCATAAATGTTCAGATTGAAAGGTGGCTGAACAAACAGTTTCGGTTCATGGGCACACTTTTTGGGAATAAAGGACAAGGCTACCCACACGGATGTATTTGACAACCAGTTCCAGTTGTTGAGCTTCAATAACTAGATTAGTTGATGGATTCCTGCCCTCGTTAAGTGAAATTTCGCACTCTGATGGGGAGGGGCGAATTATTTAACTCATTATTTAACTCTAAGGAAAGACCGAGAGCTCTGGTGGACATGGAAAGCTCGGGAGATGGAGAAGGCTTTTGCTACGGGAAACAGCCGTGTCCTTTATCAACTGATACGATCGACTGGCCCTAGGAAAACGACGGTCAGCGAAAAGATAAATGAAAAAGATGGCTCATCAATTCACTCGCAAAAACGTCGACTGGAGAGATGGGCCGAACACTTCGAAGAGCAGTTCAGCTGGCCTCCTGCAACACAGCCTGTGGAGATAGTGCATACGGGCGAATGGAATGTAAACCTTGATCGCCCTTCGGAAGAAGAAATAAGATCAGATTTGTAGTCTCGTTTAAAAGCGTTTCATCGTCCTTTGCGAATCCGGGTTCCATACAAGCTTCCCGTTCAGATGTATAAACGTACTGGCACGAAGATCCGTGGTTCGAACCCAACCCGAGTATCCTGATTGCCCCTGTCTAGGCCTCGGCAACCTGCCAGTATCTCAGCCCTTGTGCTTCCTTCGGGTGGCTTGGCAGCTTCCGTTCCGAGGGAACCGGGCAGATTGCTCCTTAGTGTGTGCACACTCGTGATGCCAGCAGTGTTGTTTGAGCTAACTGAACTGATTCACCATCGATCTTTATGAACGGCGGTATTCCGAATGTATGACTGGTACGAATGCCCGCGTGCTTAGAGGTTCAACGAACGAAGGAAAGTCTTACGTTGATACTTTCCGCCGGTGATTGATGAAACTGAGTGAATCTGTGTACATGACCGTTTTCAGCTGTAGTCTCCAATGATATGGTTAAAACATACATTGGAAATTCTTACTCATCGGAAACGGACGATGATATGCGGTCGACTAAAAAAAGTCGAATTCCATCATCTGCTTGGTGGATGCTGATTCCAAAAGCACCACTGAAATGCGCTTCGTTGGTCTCGTCCAACCGACCTGGGCAAATGTCCGCATTTTATAAACCGAATTAACCATCATCGTCAACATCGTGATCACCGACAGCACAACATCAGTGTTCAACACTGATGTTTCGCTGCCGTTAACCGAATTAGCCATGAATGATACTGACTAAGTCTATCTTGGCGTTTGAGCTTCTGTCTAGCAGAGCAAACAAATCTAAGGAAAGAAACGCTGTGAAGTACCAACTGGCCGCAGGCGGAGCTTCTGTCTAGCAGAGCAAACAAATCTACGGAAAGAAACGCTGTCACGCTGTTAATAACGGGAACTTGCGGTTTACTGGACAGCTGTGCAAGTCTCACAACTTGACACACCGAAGACATTATTCACACTTAGCTGTCTGGATTGGCAACGACATTTCTGCTGTCGCAGTCTCAGCGTTAATCCCCTTCTCAGCGCTATCGGTGGTCAAAGCAGACTGGATCTATCTAAGGAGGCTTCACCACGTCGCCAACTGATTCTACTTGTGTCACTTAAAGTACTATGACTATAATGAACTGCATACTTTTACACTGTGAGGCTTGAAGAGCTCCCCTCATTTGGCCTCATTGTCCATTGAGCTCAACAATCCCGGTCATTCACATCATGATCTGCGGAAGTTTTCGCGCGTGCTGAAAATTACGAGGGACGGGAGTTTCATGCGATTACTTGCTCGTCAGTAATTTATTTAGTTAAGAGGACGCTTGCGATATTCTATCCAAAGATTTATATCTCGTGTGTCGTAAGTTCTTACCTAAGTTTGACTGACCTACGCAAGGTAAACCGGCTTCGTGAACACCACTGTCAAAATCAAACAACCAGCAACATACCACGCAGAACACGTTTCTTGGAGTTATGCTACAGGTGATGTCCCCAACGTAAATCAGAACATTTATTCCCGTTATTCGAAAAGTCTGGTATGTTCGAAAATCTGACAGTGACGACACCCTGATTCGCCGGCTTCTTGGTCGCAAACGGCTGTTTCGTGATTTGATACCAAACTTGTGTATCAGTTCACTGTACGACAAGAGAGTACACAGTTGAATGACTACACTCTAATGGGCGGGCACCACTACCCAGCCTATAGGAGCTTTATATGTTCCACCACTGGTTTTAACAAAAGCACTCACTACTACATTCGGTGGACGTTTGATGAACAAGCTGAGTTGTAAGGAGCACCATTTTGTGTCACATATGCTAGGGCTTTGTACCGTGAATTTTTTGACGGTTGGTCTCCTTTTCCCATAACTAACGCTGTGCTTAATGGAAAACAACCCTATGTTAGCCTCTCTTCCCAGAAAAGCTGCTGAGTAAATGCATAAATCTGGATTCCGAGAGAAGATCTTGATACGGAGTAATTCAAGTGATTATGTTTCGCTCTCTATTGACTTTGGTTCTAATAAGGCACGAATGTTTTCCATTTCAGCCATGACGACTGTGGAGCCCCAACAGACTGAAAAACCGGTTCAGTCGAAAATCGGGATAATCTATCCTCCACCGGAGGTCCGAAACATTGTCGATAAGACCGCCAGTTTCGTTGCTCGGAATGGACCAGACTTCGAGTCTCGGATTCGCCAAAACGAGATCAATAATCCAAAGTTCAATTTTCTCAACCCAGCGGATCCCTATCATGCTTACTACCAGCACAAAGTACGTGAGTTTGCTGAGGGAAAGACAAGTGAACCTGCGGCTTTGAAACTCACAACACCAAGTGCTGCACGTCTTGGTCAAGACACTCCAAAGTCAATTCAGGAGACTTTTATTCCAAAGGAACCACCGTCCGAATTCGAATTTATCTATGACCCACCGTCAATCAATGCAATGGATATCGACATTATCAAGCTGACAGCACAGTTTGTTGCACGAAATGGACGGCAATTTCTAACCCAATTGATGAACAGAGAGCAGCGTAACTACCAGTTTGATTTTCTCAGGGCACAACACAGTATGTTTGGCTACTTTACGAAGCTGGTTGAGCAATATACAAAAATTTTAATTCCCCCGAAAGATATCGCGGACAAATTGAGCGATGAACTGGAACACCCGAAACGTTTGCTTGATGATGTGAAGTATCGGGTTGAATGGCACAAGTATCAGGAGCGGCAACGAAAACGCGAGGAAGAGGCGGCCGAAAGGGAGCGAGTTGCTTACGCCCTCATTGATTGGCACGATTTTGTCGTTGTGGAAACAGTTGACTTCCAACCAAATGAGGCGGGGAATTTTCCAGTGCCCACTACACCCGACGAAGTTGGTGCTCGTATGCTGGCTGAGGAACGAGGTATGCAGTTGCCTCCTAAAGTTCCCGCTGCTCCACCTCCACCCCCTGGTTCTTTGGGTTTGATGCCTGCAGACCTGGACGAGGAAGATGAAGATGAAGAAGGCGATGAAGAGAGTGGGGATGATGAGAGATTATCTGACGCAGAAACTGCAGATGTTCGAATGCCAGAGCCGGTGTCCCTGGAAGCCAAACCTGTTTTAAGTGCCGCTCCTGAAACAGTTGAACCTTCACATGCTAGGCCAGCGCAATCGCCGTCCCCTCCACCTGCACCAGAATTCATGGAGGGGGAAGATATGGAGTTGTCAGAGGACGAGGATCAAGCTCAACCAACTGAGGGTACCTTACCACAGAAGCAACCAGCCAAACATCTGCCGCCCACAACAGATCAGGTTATAATTCGGCCCGATTACGATCCAAAGGCTGTACGGTTAGCGAAACGTGATGAATCAGTCTTACTGGTTTCTCCGTTCACGGGAGAGAAAATTCCTGCACATCAAGCACCAAAACACATTCGTGTTGGTCTTCTTGATCCGAAATGGGTGGAACAACGTGATCGTGAGATTCGTGAGAAAAGGGAACAGGAACAAGTGTATGCTTCAGGCAGTCTGATTGACAGCAGCCTGAAACAGTTAGCAGAACGGCGAACCGATATTTTCGGTGTGGGTGTGGATGAAATCCAAATAGGTAAGAAGTTGGGTGAGGGGGAATCGGTCAAATCGGATAAGTTGATTTGGGATGGACACGCTGCATCTTCTGATTTGATTGTCAAACGAGCGATGGAAGCTGTAACGGCGAAGGATAAGCAGGAACTACTCGAATTCCAAATGAAGTTGGATGCCGCACGTGACAAAATTGGCCCGCAAGGTGGGACGACGCCTGCCGTGCCCATGTTCCCTCCTGGTGTCATCAAGCCTGGAATGATAATTCAACCTCCGCAACCAGTCAGCAATATTGTAAAGACCAATCCTCCCCCTCCCCCTCCACCACCACCACCACCGGGTTTGCTGATGATGTCGAATGCACCCCCACCACCTTTGCCACCGTCTATGTTCCCACCTGGAATGCCACCACCACCCGGTTTGGCAATGCCAAGCTTTATGGCCCCACCTCCAGGCATGCCACCACCACCTCCACCACCAGCTGTGTCCACTGCTGATGGAGAACCGGAAGCCAAGCGACCAAGAGAGTAGTCGGAGAAGCTTACTGTTCACTATCTCGTTGCATGTAAATGGATTGCTCTTTTTGGCCTCTACTGCTGTTTCACCCTTGTGAGTTTGCAGTGACTTTGCAATACATCATTTTCAACCATCTACCTGTTGCTTAATGTAATCAGAGGTCA